TGTTTTTCACATCAGCTGTGAGAAGGGCACGCATGGAGTCACAGATTAACAGCGATGATGATGCCTGGAAAAAAACACCTGGTCTCCTTACATACACCTCCCTCAGCCACGCTTTCATCATCTCCTCATCTATTCAACCCTTTTCATTTGCCTTAACAACGACTCCAGCTGGAAACGTCTCTTTAGGCAAAGTCTTTCCCTTAAAAATCACCATAGGCGGCAGTTTCTGTCCATTTGCGTGGCAGCCAAGCACAACACGCAAATGTAACATAAGGCGAGGCCACCTCGCCTTAGCTGCGTCTTCGTCACCTGTCTGAGTTTGTTTTCCATCTTCCTCCACTTGCGAACCGTCGATTCATTAATCTTGAATTCCCTCACAGCTGCTCAATTTCCATGTTCCTCTGCGTAGCTGATGGCCTTCAGTTTAAACTGTGCTTCATAGGCGTGTCTCTGCCATTTTCAGGGTTGTTATGACAACAACGTTCTGCATAAAGCACATACCTGTTCTTTTATACACAATCCACGCCCACACTTCCCCCTTTAACGTTCTCATGGCGTTTATATGCGCCTTATAGTCGTGAAAATACGGTAGTAGTAGTCAGACTCATATTTAATGAAATGAGACCACAATTGGGATCATTTTTGTCTTTTTATTCCTTCACATAGAATGAAAAGTTCACACAAATCCTGCCTTGGAGTCTTTCAAAACATAACTTAAGGTGTTTTCTACTTTTTTTTTTTGCAGATTGTTTATACTTTATTGCCAAAGCCCTGGAGAAAGACCACTGCTACACTAAAGGCCTGGTGTTAAAGGAAAAGATCTTTAAGGAACAGCCTTGTTTGAAGAGGGACACCATGCAAATGTTTACAAAGTGGTAAAGGCATTTCACTGTCTTCTCTTTTATCTAACTGAAACAAAAGAAGCTGCTGCTCTGAGCACTGGAAAAACAATCTAGAAATAAGTAAAACTTTTCTATAATTTAGTTTTTAATTTATCCTTATTTTGAGTAGGTAAATAAAATAGTTTGCCAATGGAATGAGTATTTTTACTCTTAAAATAAGATAATTAGATAATATGCACTTGAAATAAGACAATGCAATTGAGTTTTCTTATTTTAAGTGTAAATTGTCTTGTTCCGTTCGTAAAATGTCTCTTTTACCTCCTTAATCCAAGAAAAAAATCACTCATTTTAAGAAAGAATGACTTATTCAGATTTGGATTTTTTTCCAGTGAGTTTGCACCGTTCTGAAAGCTTGCCTGTATTTTCCTGTGGATTCTTGCAGCGACGTGTCCATTCATTATGTGGAGGTTGACGAGGAGGAGCGGCGATCCATCATCGAGGAGGCTCTGGAGATCAGGAGGCGAAGGCAGGCTCTCTCCCACTCCGAACCCAAACCGGACCTCGTCCTGATCAAGCCTATCCACCGCTTCTCGTTAGTCCTCATGTTGGATTCCTACAACGCTTTTTCATCCAACTCTTTTTCTTACATTCCAGTTTATTTAATGTTTGCACGGTTTGTTTAAGGTGCAAATTGAGGTGTTAGCAGTGGATTTTAAAATACTGATCATAGATCAACCTCTTTATTTTTTTATTTGTTGGACCCCAGATGGAAGCATGTTGGTGAAAGCCTTCTAGCGATGTACAAACATCAGACCACCTGTGAGCCTCCACGGCCCAGCCTGGGCCGCAGAATTGACTTGTCGGCGTACCGTGACCCCAGCTTCCCTCAAAACCTTCCTCAGCCCAGCAGCCCTGTCAGTATGGGTCTGACCGCCGTGCTGAGCAGCCCCAGCTCCTCTCTTCCACCGGTAGCCTTCAGTGAGCCTGCAGCCGCCCCCCAGCCTGCCTCTCAGCCTCAGCTTACCCTGGGCCAGACTACTGTGGAGGTCACTACTACAGCTCCCCCTGCTGGTTAGTTCTAGTTTTAATATTTCTTTGGGAAATTACATTTTTTTTAATACTATTTAATGATTTTGAATGAAACCTTTTCATATTTTTTTCTCATCATATTTTTCTTGGAGTTTGTTGTGAAAGACAGGAGGTTTTTCTTTAAAAGGTGCATGCTTTCGTTATTTCTAAATGTTTTTATTGTCCCGTTACGTCCACAGCCGCAGGCATGGAGCTATCCCTGGCAGACAAGGCGAAGAAGGCTCCAAAAAGAAAACGCGCGGTGGAGGACAGCGGCGAGACGGCCAAACGCCGCTCGGCGCGCGTCCGAAACACGAAATGCAAGAAGGAGGAGAAGGTTGATTTTCAGGAGCTTCTTTTTAAATATTTACCTTCCAGGTAGGTTGGCCTGAAGCTTACCCATAAAATAGAAATTAAATCTTTTGTTTTAAACCTTGTCTTTTGGTTGGTTTTAGGTTAAAGAAGTTTGATCCGGATAACGATGATGAGAGCCTGGGGAATCCAGAGACGCAGCCTGATGGGAAGGATGACGTTCAGCCTTATCATGGAAGCTGCTTACCAGCCGACTCGGTTGAACTGATGGAATCTGGTACATCGTCATCATAGCTCTGTCAAGTGTAGACTGGCTCTTTATTGAAACATGTTAACAAAAGAAATGTTTCTTTTAGAGCAACAAGATGTTCACAACTTCTTGCTCAGCAATATGACCAATGGAGGAATCCTGGATCTGATGATGCGCTATCTGAAGGCAGTCGGTCAGAAGTTCATGGAGGAGTGGCCGCGGGGGCTGACCGCCGTGGTGCTGGAGGTCTATCAGACCTGGAGGAAACACAGCATGGGCCTGCCCAACCCCCTGCTCAGGGACTGCAGCAACCAGCACATCAGGGTAAAGAAAAAAAAAAGAACTTTTCCCTTTTCAGGCTAACAAAAGAATCCGTCTTTATCTTTTTTTCTGAGAGGCTTCCCCCTCCAGAAAAAATGAGAGGGAGATCACCACATCCGGACTTTCTTCTTTCTCTTTTCGAGAAGTGTTTAAAAATGAAGTCAAACTCCCCTTCCAGGCAGCTTAAAACAATAACGCCATTTCTGCTTGTTTTTCTTTAGGAGATGCTGGCGATGAGCTTAGCCTGTATGGAGCTGCAGCTGGAGCAGTGGTTACACAGCAAAGGAAAGATCGGTAAGTTAGAGCAGATTTTAAAGA